GTCAGCGAAATGCGACTTTTTTGAACACCCTGTATTAAAATATTAAATGGACTTGGAATTGTGAGCAAAACATAACAGAAACGGCAGCTTCGTGGATAATAAAACAGTTTATATAACCTTTATGAGGCGACATGTGTCAGCTGTTTATTTTTGGATCTGATAAAAAGGCAATGTAAGCCAGGTTCAAATACGGTCTTTAAGAAACAGCTGTAGAACACGTCTGGTGTGATTCCCCTGTATTTACAGTTGAGAATGTGTTAGGCTAAGGAATTATCTGTGTTTTATTTGGGGGTAAAAGGTAGTTTTAGACGCTGCGTAAGATGGTTACTAGCTTTTAATATGTGCGTAACCATAGCAACACTCGATTCTTAAATTTATATTACGTCATTGCCTTCCCTAGAAACGTCTCTGCAAAACATGTCGAAATCCTCGAATTCCTGCCACCACGTTGCTCTGAATAACTTCGTTGTCACGAAACGGGAAACTTTGCGTCTGGTATAGGGGAAAAAATTCTTAATGGGCGATGTCTTTGATATCGTAAGACATATCAGAGTGGATTTGACCTTAGAAGTTGGGATCACCCAACGCTGTTAATGACGGATGTAAGATTTCCTTTTTCTTGCTTTTTGCAAACGAGACACTGCCATTAGAACTCTTGCTGCAACCTTAAACTGAATCCTGACTGTGCTGTTTAACACTGAACTGCTGAATGTGATCATTTCGAAATTACGCTCCGAGACAGTCTTTTGTCAGTTTCATCATTATTACGACGACTTCTCACATTATATAATCATATATTTAAAAAAAAGCAACAATGAAACAATGGACGTGCCCTGACGTATTGAATTTTGATTGTCTTGCGTCATATGTATGTTTTGTTACAACAATGTGGACAGAGAACCGTAGTATCTGACCTTGTTTCTGTTTCGTAAAATCTACTTTTGCTATCGCGGGTACAAAGCAGCGTTGCATTGTCGCTTTCAGGGTTGACACTTCTTATCGGCAGGTTTTGAAGGTTCGTACTCATTCGACTGTCCGCTGGTCGACTTCACTTGTGTAACCGTGCAGCGATTGTTTCAAATTCTTGTCTGCCGTGGCTACTTTTTTGATCGAAGTACAGATTTGAAGAGAATAATGAAACATGAAAATCGCGATTTCTGTAAAGAAAAGAACAAATTGTGTTCGTCGCTTTCGAAACTCGACGTGTTTTCCCAGTGTTCGTCGTCCACGTAAAACACGTGTGATTTCGCAGACATTACTTTCCCCGTGAATGTCAAACACGGAGAATTTAATATGACTTTATTTACGTCCTCGTTCGTCACTGTCGGCCTGTCAAGCGAGCCGATGGACTTTGCCATCAGAACATGTATATATATATAATCACATATTGCGCTTGTTAGGAGTGGATCGTCCGTCAGTTCATTCGTGCAAGTGTGAACTCAGCGCACTGTTGTAAGGTTAGGTTAGTGCAGTGGTGTTCAAACTCTGTTATTCAGGTTAAGTGGACTGGCCTCCCTCAACATTGAAATTCGAATTAGCAGCTCGAGTGAAAGCCCTCTTTAAAGGGTCTACAGCGGTGGGAGGCGTATTTACCACATCTTCTCGCTATTTGTGTACAGCGCATATTTTCTCAACTCGTAAAACTTTTACTGCTACGATTTTATTTTGGAAGTCGACTTAAAATTTGTTGTTCGGAACCTGAGATACTATCGGCCCCTACCCTGAGCTAGATGAAGCAAATCTTTACCCTCAGACATTGTTTTCGTAAGATATGTTTCCATCTACTACTAGGTCTTCCGGGTGATCTCTTTCCTTCAGGTTTTCCAACCAAAATTTTGTACGCATGTCTCATCTCCCGCGTGCCTCTATCCTTGATCTGATCACCCTGGTGAGGAGTACGAACCATGGATATCTCATTCATCTTCTTCTATGTTTCATGTTACGTTCTCGATTTGCGGGTGGTATCCACACGACGTTTGTTCTCAGATGATGATGATCATCACCGCAAGTGTCAGGCGTTTTTTTGTTGAGAATTTGACCTTGAAAAGGCCATTCCGCACGAAATGAGCTAATAACTGTTCCCGAATGTTTATGTAAAGGTTTTGCAAACGCGCAAGAAGACGCTTTGCTTGTCGTAGGGGCAGGAAACAATGCGATAAGTGATGAGTAGTTCTCAGGGCCGACCGCCCAGAACC